TACCTCGAATAGGACGGGTCCTTTGATAGGACACCTATCAAATGACCCGTCACATTCCGCCATCTCACCTTAATGGTTTTCTTTCCGCGGTGTCATCTTAAAGACGGGAAAGAAAATAGTCATTTATTTACTATTTTCTTTACCGTCAAATTACATTAACAAATAGTAATAAATTACTTGTTAATGTAATCTTATTTTAATCTTTAACAATAATAGTCTTATCGACAATAATAGTAACCATGATTTATAGCGAAGAACAATGAACGAAGTAGATAGCCCGCGGAAACGAATTTTTTCCACATTACAATGGCAAAACAAATTATAAAACTATTAAATAAATGACACGATATATCTATTATAATATATCCAATAAAATATCGTAACAGATAGCGCTACCACAATTTTAACTTTTTCGCCGGGAAAGTTAGGCAACGGGTTGCTGGATTTTTAAAACAACTTTCGTTTTTTTCTTATAATAAAGTCGGTAGAAACTGTAACGATTAGTTATCGATCTTTCCGTCGAAAAAATGCCAAACGATTTATAAACTTTAAAAATTAAAGCTATTCTGCCAGGAAGCGAAGAATTAATTAATACGGTAATAAATAACGAGCGAAGCGGAAAAACAGGTGGCAATTATTTACGAAAGAACTGGTTTTTCACTCGGGTCTTTGCCAAATTTCTGCCGGGCAACATTTACGAATCGAGATTAAATTCTGAAAAATATATTTGTAAATAAATCCGCAATAAAGTGGCAGAAATTTGATATAAAGCGAATAAAATCCTCACAGACTGTTATCGATAACTCGATTATTGTCTGCACAAAAACAAGAGAGAATTGAATATTTTTTAATTATAATTCGTTTCTATAATATAAATGTCCAGTCGACTTTATCCCTGGTAATATGTTATCCTTGTGGCCGCACATCAACAGTTTCCATCTTTCGCCAGATTCTGGCGAAAGATGGAAACTGCAGAAGTCGGAGCCAGGGAAAATCCAGTTTGAACGGAAAAAAGTCAATTCGACAACAATTCCAGATCCGAAATTTGACATTGATTTAAAAAAAAGTTTGTAAGTCGCGTTCTCCTTGAAATTTTTTTTGTAATTATTTCAAAATTTTCCGACAAGAAACAGATTGACGTCAAAATATAATTTACATCATTGGCTTCGCTTCAAAACTGTAATTAAGCTTATCGATTTTTATAATCTGAATCTCGTATGCAAAATAATTAATAAGAAACCTTAATACAGTACGTTGATAATTAACGTAGCCTACACGAATCGGGAAAAAATGCAGAATTTTAATCGAAGTCTCTCACGTGACGAAGGAGGATCTTTTTGACTTTTAATTCTGGCCAACGAATTTTCTTCTCTTTACTCGGAAACATTTCGACTAATTTGGTTATATTAATCTTAATTATACAATTTCTTCCCGCGTTTAAAAGTGATTTTACTATTAAATAAATAAGTCTAACTGCCTCGTCTTTATCTGGCGTAATCAGAAAATAAAAAAGATTCCGAAAGCCGTTCGAAAGTGTAATTGGCACAAACAACAGAATGTAATCCAGTAATCCGCTTTCGGTTTTCACGAGTTTTAGTGTATTTCTGAAAACTTTATAGTATTTTATTGCGTTACGTAACGTTTTCTGAAATTTTTTGTATATTTTTACAATTAAAACAAAAAATTGTCTTTTATCGATCGTGAAAATGAGCGAATCAAGTGTTTTTGCCGTTGTTTATTCTCAAATCGGGAAAGAACGGAAAAACATTTGAGTGAAATTACAATTTTCACAATGGAAAACTCTTTAAATTATCAAAAGATTTTTCTTTATAGGTTAATGCGTAAAATGGTAAAAATAAAAAATATGTTAATATTTATCGTCCGCGCAATTATTCTCTAAGAACTTGCGTTATAACGATAGCGGCCGGCAATAAACGACGGTACGTAAACTAATTAAAAACGCCGTCACGAAAACCGATTAATCGATATCGACGTAAATCGATAAAACGTATAATAATTCGCCATCAAAACATTTTTTTTTCTTGCCGTTTAAATTCCATCGAGAGAAATTACGGATCGGACATTACGTATAAAGTGGTATTCTCGGTTAAAAAATTTAGAAAACGGCGATATTTATCGATAATGCCATTTGATTTCCAATAAATAGAACTTAACCGAGAAGACGGCGTTATCGGGTTACGCCGTAATTAGCTTAATACGAAACACGCGTTACGCAACGGAGGCAACACGTAACGTTAGACGGGCGAGAGTGCAATTTATTAACGTCTATTTCCGTCCTATCGATTTATCGGAAACTCGACATAAATTAATTTTATTCGTCTCATTTGAATATAATGCGATTGGAAGGAGACAACTCCGTGGCAAAAATACACAACGCCGACTCTTTTATACACTTTTATACGCATTTTCAAGGAAGGAAATGCGAAATGGCGAAAATGAGAAATAATCTGTAGGAAATACTTGGACATTTTCAAAACATAGAAAAATTTTTATTAAATAACGCACAAATTGCAAAATTAACGGTCGTGTTTGAAAAAAATAGCAGAAAAGTGGAGTTACGGACTGAAAGATTGCAAAAAACGAAGGAAAGAAAAAAATAAGCGCACGACGGCACAAATTGGCACGGCTTTAGTTAATAGAGAAAAGTTTCGGTCAATAAGATACCGTACGCGAATAAGTGGAGTAAGGTTGAAATTCGTGTAACGCCCTCTTTTCGGCATTTTCGATAAATAATATGAGCCGTAAAGAATCGAGTGATAAATTTGTGCAATTAATAAACAATTATTGTCGATAGTTTCACCTGGGAACATTATTATAGATGAGTGATTATTTTGTTATATTTTGTTACGTGAAGTATAATGCAGTCGAATCGTTACGTATCTGCAATATGAAGAAATTTGCAGTGGCGCGTTATAGCTTAATGGGGCCCGGGCGCGCTAGAATTAGGAACCCCGCGTATAGTAAACTATCGACTTCGGACATTTTTCTTCTGGAGAATGCTTTGACGGGAATTATACTGCGGTTATTACGAATTTAACACTGCTCATGCAAATAAAGGAAGAAAACGATGTTAGATAAAATTTTATTACCAACAAAACAAAATCACATATACGACATTTACCAACAATGAAATTTAATCCGCGAGAAAAATTTATAAATAATACATTTAACGGAATTAATATATACTTTTAATGCACCAAAAAATAAACTAGATTAAATCAGTAAGAATTAGAATAAACTGTAATTTAAAACTAGTCATTTAATATAACAGAGAAAAAACAACTTTTTATGAGTTACGCTTCTTCGCCTTCGCCACACGACAACGCATACTCTCCAGAAAGGAACAAAAATAAGCATTTAGATATACAGTCGAGCATCGATTAACCGACCCCCGATTAACCGTCACATCGGTTAACCGACCGTTCTAGTCGGCAAATTTCAAATGTCCGCCAGTGATGTGGCATTACAATATTTGGCTGTCTTGGCTACTTTAATATTATTGTTGTTAAATTTTTGCCTGTTTTAACTGGCAACATCGGCTCGACCATTGAAGGGAGGCCAGTATTTAAATTAAACGAGACTTAATTTTCTAATTATGAGTGGTTGTTTGTTTTGTGAGNTGTGGGTGTAGTTATGATACCTTGTTTACAATTCACTAAAATGTAATTGGGGTTCCATAATACCACCTTCTCCTCTATATTTTGTTGGTTTGTAAAAAATTTTATTACAAAATTTGACTTCAATTTTCTTTTTGTAGAAATTGTTTAAGTCCCTGGAAACTCGAGGTAAACAGGTACTTGTAAATACGGTCCCAATGGGACAGATGTCAAAGCTGATGTTTTTAACACGAAGAGCACAGATGGACACAACGATCTGTCTCATTTGTTTCGATAATACCACGTGTAATGACGTGTCCCGCTAGCATTAATTGTTCACCTATAAAATATCTCGATAAGCAGCTACAAGCGGCACACATCATTACATGGGACAGTAATATATAATTAATTTTACGTTGACTAGTTACAAGCCACCCTGGTAAAGTAGCCATTTTGTAAAAACGTAGCGCCCTCTATAAGTTATGAAAAAGGCGAATTTCCTTCGTTGACAATGGCTCCGCATAGCGTGATTAAAGTTGCCATACGTCCCGACTGGGAACATTTCCCGGAATGTCTCGTTTATCCATTTCTATCCTAAAGTATTCTTATTTATATTTGAAAAAGTCAAATAAAAATTGTAGTCTGTAGGTGTCCCGTCATCTGTCTAACACCTTTGGGGGAAATTTTTGAATTGAAATAACGTGCCTTCCGGTTCAAATTTGATACGAATCCAATATTTTTCTTGTTACGTATAAGTTACGTAACGGCCGGGAAAGTAAGATAACAGAATGAATAGGCGGAGAGGACCACAGAGGTAAAAAGGAACAAATTGCGCCGGTTGTTTATGTAATTACTCCCTTTAATATAATTAAATTTGTTGTAGGCTTGCAATATGTATGTTGCTCGGACTCCCGTTACCTCCCGAGTCGGAAATGGCGTTTTATTACCACACTGAATTCCAAATTTCGTCTTTTCTAACGAAATAGGGTCGAAGTTGATCGAGGTGGTGGCTATAGAAATCATTGTTCCACGGGCAACTACCGCCATCTGTCGGTTAAAATTGATAGCTCTGTTGTTTTTAATTTAATAATTATCTCAAATATCCAGTTGATAGAGATACGGGGCTTATCAAACTGCGATGGAGCCGTGTAATCGCGATCCCATCGAGAAATTAAGACTTTTATTTGTGGAATGCATTTCGGTCTTCACTAGACTCTACTCGGCCACAATTAGCCTATATAAATACAAATACAGTATCTACAACAGTTGTAAAAAACTTATATTTAACATTTAGCTTAAAAACAAGATAAACTATTCAAAAAAGAAAGAGGCGTGTAAAAACGAAAAAATAGCCAATTAACTCTGTCCCTTCAAAGAGAGATTTTTTTAAAGTTAACACTAGCATTCCTTCCCCCAAAATATGCCGGATAACATAAAAAAATGGCAGAATATAAAGTTTAAGTCTACTTTATCCCCGCGGGTGTAAGCACACGTTTGTACTTTCAGGGAAGAGAGCCACAAATTTGCATAGTGCAACATACACAGCGATAGGGCATCACGATAAAAAAAAAAAAAATTTTTTTTTAAGACCGAAAGCACTCGCAAGACAATCAATTTCAGTAGGAAAAGCTCATTGGTTACATTTAGGGGGACACGTAATACGGAGGTGGTTGACGGTACGCGGGTGTTGCCTTTGGTCTTCCGTTTTTGGCTTCGTTGCGAAGGCTGGAGGTGGCTGATAAGGTGGATCAGTCTGCGGTTCCCTCCTCTCGATTTGCGGTGTAGGTTCCGTACTGCCGGTCGGTTGATAAGTCGGCCGAGATAATGGCTGTTTCTGGTATTTCATAATAACTGGTGGTGTTGCTGGATCCGATTTCTCTTTGATTTCGTCAGCGAAAATGATCGGAACACCTTTACATACTGTATATAATTTTACAAATTATAAAAACAAACCTAATATTTAACACAATAGTTACAACTTACATGGATATACTGTAATTGTTCGCATTTCCGTCTGATTACAATTTCTACTCACGGTTCAAACAGACAATTCTTTCAGGCGTTCCTGTGTTAAGGATTCGTAGTATCGAACACTAAGTGGGTCTGTAGTACAGACTCACTTAGTGTTCAATACTACGATTTCTACCATTACTGCGAAGTCTCTGTAGTATTGGTTAACGGCGATTACCCCGGATGAGAATCAGTAGCCAGGATTCACTCACTTTCCTTCCTAAATTGTCATTAATTCTACAGTTTTCGTTAACACTCGTAATGCAATTCCAAAGGGTATACGTTATCTCACACCGTTTGGAATTGCAGCGCCTGTCTACCGCCGAACTAACGTAATTATATTTAATTGTCTCACACGTTCACCGATACGTACTGTATATCTATGGACGGAAAGTTTCACCATTATACTATAGGCACGAACAGATTTGCGACTGAGATTAAACACACGACTATTATTGACTATCGTCGGTTTACATAATTCGTTACTTATCGACCGTTTTCGTTCCGGGCTAACAATCACGTAGAACATTTTCATAATCTTTTTAATTAATCTCTTAAAAAATATTTTCTACATAACCTAAACTAACATATTCTATATTGTTATTTCTTCGAGTATTATTATTAATGTTCCAACTCGTATAATCAGTCGGCACTTACACGCTTTGGATAGTTACGAATTAAATACATCTTTATTACATCTCGTATTTTTACTTCTCGGTGGTTTTTATTAGTGGTTCTCCATCTGGTATTCATTTAATAATATTCTTCATTTTTTAACTCGGAATAATTTCCTTCGTTTTTTTATTTTCTAGACGATTAGACGATATTCTTCGCTGTCTATTTTGACGCATTTATGGCCAGATCAGACGCAATTCGCCTCAAACTGGTGGTAGAATCGCTAACTTTTTTTACAAATTAAGACGGTTAATTTTAAATTTAATACGACAAAGTCATCCGGCGACATCCGGACGACTTCGCCGTCGCATATTTATCGTTAGAATCGACGTAATTTAGCGCAATACGACGACAACGCTTTTTCCCTTTTAATCGGGAAATCCTTTAATTTATCAATTATTCCATAAATATATTTTGTAGAAATGCACCCCTAATCTACGACTGTGCCGCATTTTGCATTCTCCTCGCGTATTAATGGCGATTTAACCGCAATCGACGCGATTCCGATACTTTCGCGTTCGAGCAAAAAGATGATAATAAAATATTGTAAATATAATTTGCTTTTAAACAGTTTTGTCGCGGTCTTCTATAAATGGACGGAGAATATAAAGATTTTACTCGACAGATGGCGACGGTCGTCTACGGATGGAAACGCTAGNTTTTTAACGATACAATAGCGACGATTATTATTTTTAAAAAAATTGTTAGGCTAAACATCGATGAAAATTCAACGCGAAGTTGGTTAATAGCGATATGCTAATATACTAATTACATGAGATATACTAATATACTATACTAATAATGTATTTTTTTCATTCTTTTCGGTTATTCGATTTTTTCAGTTATCCGACTAACCTGAGTCCCCAATTGAGTCGGATAATCGATGCTCTACTGTACTTTCTGCAGTTATGAATGTATAAAAGATTAGTTTTGGCCCCACCAATTTCCCCGTTTGCCTGGCTAGTTTTTAGAGTAATTTCATTTTTTTCCTGGCGATTTTTTCGGGAAATTTCACTTTTGCCGATAGGATAACGTCCCACAAGCTGATTGCCGTTTTTTGGTACTTCGGTTTATTACGTAGTAAAAAGATCTTCATACGTACATTTACTAAAAGTAATTAAATTATTATTATTATTATAGACCTACTTAGTGTTCAGTACTACGATTTCTACTATTGCTGCAAAGTCTGTGTAGTATCGGTTTACGGCGATTCCCCCGGATGAGAATCAGTAGCTAGGATTCACTCACTTTCCTTCCTAAATTGTCATTAATTCTACAGTTTTCGTTAACACTCGTAATGCAATTCCAAAGGGTAAACGTTATCGCGCACCGTTTGGAATTGCTGTGCCGGGCTACCGCCGAACTAACATAATTATATTTAATTGTCTCACACGTTCACCAATACGTACTGTACACCTAATGGACGGACAGTTTCACCAATATCCTACTATATGCCCGAACAGATTTGCAACTGAAACATACGATTATTATTGACTATCTTCGGTTTACATAATTCGTTACCTATCGACCGTCTTCGTTCCGGGCTAACAATCGCGTCGAACATTTTCATAATCATTTTAATCTGCTGAAAACTATTTTCTACATAACCTAAACTAACATATTCTATATTGTTATTTCTTCGAGTATTATTATTAATGTTCCAACTCGTATAATCAGTCGGCACTTACACGCTTTGGATAGTTACGAATTAAATACATCTTTATTACATCTCGTATTTTTACTTCTCGGTGGTTTTTATTAGTGGTTCTCCATCTGGTATTCATTTAATAATATTCTTCATTTTTTAACTCGGAATAATTTCCTTCGTTTTTTTATTTTCTAGACGATTAGACGATATTCTTCGCTGTCTATTTTGACGCATTTATGGCCAGATCAGACGCAATTCGCCTCAAACTGGTGGTAGAATCGCTAACTTTTTTTACAAATTAAGACGGTTAATTTTAAATTTAATACGACAAAGTCATCCGGCGACATCCGGACGACTTCGCCGTCGCATATTTATCGTTAGAATCGACGTAATTTAGCGCAATATGACGACAACGCTTTTCCCCTTTTAATCGGGAAATTTTTTAATTTATCGATTATTTCATAAATATATTTTGTAGAAATTCACCCCTAATCTACGATTATCCCGCATTATGTATTCTCCTCGCCTATTAATGGCGATTTAACCGCAATCGACACGATTCCGATACTTTCGCGCTCGAGCAAAAAAGATAATAATAAAACATTGTAAATATAATTTGTTTTTAAACAGTTTCGTCGCGGTGTTCTATAAATGGACGCAGAATATAAAGGTTTTACTCGACAGATGGCGACGGTCGTCTACGGATGGAAACGCTGGTGTCTGTCGCCATAGAAACCGGGTGTTCTCCGTAATCGAGCGCCATCTAACAACAACACGGGAACTAAGCGGAGGTCGACGGATGATTGCCGGCGTTTAATGGTCGAACGAGCCGTTAAATATCCACTTTACGTAAAGTTAGTTCGGAGCTTTTCATTCGCGCCGCTCTTACGGGCCGATGCGGGCGTTGGATTCTACCGCAGGCTTTGGCAATGAAACTAAAAAATTCGTCGAAAACAACGGATCTAAACCTAAATTTTATTAGTAAATAATCAACGATTATTTTGGAACAAGTATATCCTGCACAATATTATTATAATTCATATATATATAGGCCTATATATTTGTTTATTACTGGTCTTTAATAAAATTATTATTATACGATATCGTAATAAACCGATATCGAGTCGTTTTTACGTATCGTAACGTTCGTCGCATACATATACGAAGGCAAAGAAATGACCGTCGATACGACAAAATGAGAAGAAATCGGGAGCCAATTTGACAAATAGGATCGAGGGGTGATGGATTACTCGTTAATTACGAAGCTGGCTATTCACCCGATAGCGTCGCTTAAACATTTCGTATCCGTCAGAGAATCGCACGCGCAATGCGTTTATTATTCCTTTATTAATATTATTTCGCGGGGGCTTTATCACTTCGGAACGAACGGCATTTGTAAGAATTTATCTTTACCGGTCGTTCCTGGGTTTCGACTTACGATCGCGATTAGTCCGGAGAGTTCGCGGGGCGTATTTCGACCCGTAGATCGAATTACGAGTTTCCACCGATTCGAATAACGTTCAACGAACAAACATAAAGATATATTATTTGCGGGAAGTAAAGAAACACCTGGCGATTTGATAAGAAACACTCGCTCCGTTTCCCGTTTCGGGTTGTAGATTTTATCGACGACGGAATTTTGACAGAAGACGGCTGCCGGAACCAACGTGGCGCGTGGTAATCCCGGAAAGACGGCGACGATTAGAAACTAATTAGGGAAAGAAAACTGGGGTGTGGGTAAATTACAATGCGGAAGTGCGATGGTCGCCGTACCGCGAGTAGTAAATGTATTAAATGAAATTTTTTGTCGAATAAAATGCTCGTATTCTGTCCGGAAGGTAAGGGGAAGTTGGGCAAATTGTACTTCTTATAACGGAAACGATCGTCATATCCGGAAGGTAATTGTAGAATCCGCTCGTTACCCGCGAGCTTTTCTGTCTATGGTAAAATACGGTTTTTGATAGCGAAAACGAAGTTTATTGCAATTTCTGGTACCGGTACAATTTGGACGTTACGCCGTGTAAATCGTACCTCCTGGGAATGTACTGTACCGCGGTGGGTAGACAATGCGCGGGAAAGAGTTAAGACGAAGAAACACGCAATTTCTGTTACACAATCGCGTATTTCAATCTCGACTAACCGAAATTCGGTAACAATTCACGTAAGTAACAAACGCAATTCTGCTCCTTATCCGGCGGTCGCGTTGATTTTAATTACGCACAAAAGAAAAGACCAGTCGAGTGTAAACACGGGCCTAGTTTTCTATAAAACAATAGTCTGTTATGCACCGGATGCCATTCTTCCGTTTAACGTATAAATTTTTCCTCCTTCCTACATCGAAGCGTGTTTAATTACGCCGAGTGAAACCAAAAGAAATATTTTTCCTCGAAAGAAAAGTCAAATTTCTGAAGAAACAAAAGTTAAAAATTTCTTGTGTAGTAGCGAGTACGAAGGAGGAAGTACGAGTTACACCATTTTCCCTTACACATCCGTTACGTAACCGAAAGAAATGCAAACTGTTCGACGTTTAACAACGGGGAAGATTTAAGTTCTCCACCCTTTTTCCGCGTACCAACTCCGCATCGACCGTATTGTCGAGTCTATATTCATTCAATAAATGTAATTATTTTTCGCCTTCGATATTAATTTCTGGATTTTGTTGAAAATGCGCTCGAATAAATCTCGAAATTTTTATCGTATTATCGATAAATTTTGTGAAATTTAACTTTTTTTACTCACTTTATTTCGGTTTGCTCCGATCTTAATTTCTTTATTTTAAAAGAATTCTTTAAACTTAAGAAAAGGTTCCGTTAACAACGATTTGTATTTGCGAATACTCATTTTTTTCAGAATTGTATCAAATATAAACTTTCCTCTTTTCCTCTCGTGACGTTTTCAAATGTTTTAAAACAATTCGCGCAATTTTCGGACTGGCGAGAAAACGCGAATGAACAAATATTTAACTTTTGTTTCCTCAGAAATTTGACCTTTTCTTTCGAGGAAAAATACTTCTTTTGGCTTCACTCGACGTAATTAAACACACTTTGATGTAGAAAGGAGGAAAAATTTATCGAAATTTAATCCAAATTTATTGTTATTTTGTAGCAGTAAATTCGGATAAAAAATAATTGAAGTCGATTAAAATAAAACTTTCCTTCTTTTAAAAATTCTGTCTTTTTTCCCTTTTAGTCGAAAGAAATTTTCTAATGCCGCTAAAAGAATTAATGCAGTAATTTAGTGGCGTGGGAAAGGACATCTCATTTTATTAATTAATTTAATAAGATAGGAAGTCTCTAATCATAATCA